GTTTATATAGTGAAACTTGAGTCCTGCTTAGCTATAACTTAACCAATTATTTTAGTATAATTTTACTAACCAATCATAACATACTGTAACAGAATTATCTAACCAATCATACCTCACCACCCTTAGTTGATTCTCCCCTAGCAAAATTAATTATACAGCAGACAGAAACAGTTACAAACCAGACAGAGATCACAGAGACAAACAATAGGAAGGTAAGGACAATAATCATAGAATGGGGATTCCACAACCACAACTATTGGTAAACAGTTTCTTGCCAGACAAAATGCTGTTAACTAAGTTTTCTCTACCCATCTTGAGATCTGTTTCTTTATCTGGTGACAGTGGGGGTCATTACAACAGGATCCTTCTCACAGCCCAGTGTGACACTATTTTAATGCAATTTAGCTGGAATGTGAGTATGTGACTCCAGGCTTTACAGCTAATGGCTGCTGCTCTTTGGTCTAGCTGCAGAAGAAGGCTTTCATTTAGGCCTACCAATATGGCTATAGGCCTTCCAATATGGCTACAGAAAAAACATATTGTTACAGAGGTGTATGCATACCGAGGATATGGAGAGTGTCTCTGGAGTCTTTGCTTGAGTGGAGGACCTTGTTGGTCTTCTTGGTCCTCCACTTTGGTCTGAAGTTCTCGTGGGACTCTAGCAGTCTGTAGCCATGAGGAACTCCTCATGACTATCACGGTAGCAGTGGAAGGAGCCGCTCTGTCTGCTATATCCAGTGCGATCTGAAGTCCGGTTCTAGCAGACACGTATCCCTCCTGGACTATGGACTTCAGAATGGGTTTCTGGCGTCCGGCAAATGTTCCATTAGTGCAGTCAGTTTGGTGTAATTGTCAAAGTTGTGGTTCTACAGGAGAATGGCATAATTGGTGATGCGCATTAATAGTGTTGAAGAAGATTATATTTTCCTGCCAAAAAGGTCCATGTGCTTGCTTTCTTTTTCAGCTGCACCTTTCTTATACTGTGGAGTCTTTGACCTGTGTTGGGCTGCATCCATAACTAGTGAGTTGGGGTGAGGTTGTGAGAATAAAAACTACATACCCTTAGCCGGGACAAATCGCTGTGAGTGAGAGGATCTGTAACAGCAGGGTGACCAGTGTCTAGAATAGGAGGGCTGGTGTTGATGATGGTCAGTTGTCCAATATGGTGGGCAACTGTGGTAGTATCTGTGGTGATCATGGTATAAACATCTTGGAGATGAGTGCCTGGAAGAATAGACGCTCCTATGCTTCTCCCAACGTGTTGCACGCCACGATAAGGCTAAGGAATGAGGAAGTATTACCAAGCCCCTGAAGGAGGAGAAAGATACATGTGTCTCGGCTGTTAGGAGCGTCCAGTGCCAGGGGAGGGTGGGATGCCCGTGCTGGCATGGCTGATGGTGTCAGTGCAGGGGGTTGTGTTGATTGTGGTGCCGACACCAGTAGCAGCATTTTTGTAGATGAGGCTGCCCGTGACAATGGTGCCTTCAGTGCCGGATGGCAGAATTCTATTCCCATTGTTGGCATTGACAGTGCCCTTTGGCGGACTTTTGGGTCCGAGACAGCCTTGGGACATGAAGGAGTGGTGCCGGACGTACCTGGCTTGTCCGCAGTACTGACCCTGCTCGTTGGCACAGGTGGCAGGCAGTGTGCTGGTGAGGTGTGTTTCCTTGCTAAGAACCCCGTAGTGGGGGAAGAAGCCCTCCATTTCTGGGCCCTGAGGGGTCCAAGGGAGCCTTGCTAATAGCTGTAGCACTCTGTCGAACAGGAGCATGTGGAGATGCATCTCTCTGTCTCGACAAGCTGTGGCTGTGAGCTTCAAACAATACATGCATTTCTGAGGCACATGGGCCTCTCCCAGACATATGATGCAAAAAGAATGCCCGTCGGAAGCCGGCATGGTTTCACAACAAGTGTCACATTTTTTTTGAACCCCAGTGAACCTGGCATTGTGAGAGGGGTACTGTTGTCAGTTCTCCTCGACTATGGCTTCTTCTTTTCTCTCTGGGTATGTCTACACTTGCAGCCTAATTTGAAATAGGGCTGCAAATGTAGGCATTTGAAATTGCAAATCAAGCCTGCAATTTAAATATATTTCGAATTAGGCTGCAAGTATAGACATACCCTCTCTCTTTCCTTTTTATCTTCTTTTTCTCTTTTTTTCTTTTTTTTTTAATGGCTTGAGAAACGGCTGGTGAACCAAAAAACCCTTTCTTTAAACGAACGACGAAATTGGTATCTGTAACTATAACTATGAACTAAGAATATCAACTAACTAACTAAGGGTATGTCTACACTACAGCACTAATTCGAACTAATTTAATTCGAATTAGTTAATTCGAACAAAGCTAATTCGAACTAGTGCATCTAGACCTAAAAACTAGTTTGAATTAGCATCTTCCTAATTCGAACTAGCATGTCCACATTGAGTGGACCCTGAACTGAGGTTAAGGATGGCCGGAAGCAGTGCTGGCAGGGCATCAGATTGGGGCTTAGAGCGTGGAGCTGCTGTCTCAGGCTAGCCGAGGGCTGTGCTTAAAGATATTTTGGCCTTAGAAAGGATTCAGAAAAGGGCAACAAAAATGTTTAGGGGTTTGGAACGGGTCCCATATGAGGAGAGGTTAAAGCGACTGGCACTTTTCAGTTTAGAAAAGAGGAGACTGAGGGGGTATAAGATAGAGGTCTATAAAATCATGAGTGGTGTGGAGAGGGTGCATAAAGAAAAGTTCTTCATTAGTTCCCATAATAGAAGGACTAGAGGACCCCAAATGAAATGAATGGGTATCAGGCTTCAAACTAATAACAGAAAGTTCTTCTTCACAAAGCAAATAGTCAACCTGTGGAACGCCTTGCCACAGGAGGCTGTGAAGGCTAGAATTATAACAGAGTTTAAAGAGAAGTTAGATAAAATCATGGAGGTTGGGTCCATGGAGTGCTATTAGCCAGGGGGTAGAAATGGTGTCCCTGGCCTCTGTTTGTGGAAGGCTGAAGATGGATGGCACGAGACAAATGGTTTGGTCACTGTCTTCAGTCCATCCCCTCCAGGGTCCCTAGGGCTGGCCGCTGTCGGCAGACAGGCTACTGGGTTAGATGGACCTTTGTTCTGACCCAGTACGGCCATTCTTATGTTCTTATGTTCTAAGCTCAGGGCTCAGGGCTCAGGGGTCTCACTGGACCACCTTGATTTTCATGCAAACCTGCTTCTGGGTGGCCAGGCTGAAAGCTCTCCTGCCCGAGATGGCCACTTTCCTATGTCTAGTGCAGAGGTCATGGATGAGATCCACGATGTCCACACTAGACCAGGCGGGCACCTGCCTCTTGCAGCCCCGGGCAGGCTCTTGGGAGCCACCAGCCTGGTCCCAGGCA